AAAGTTATCCTACTAATTATTTTTCTCAAGGCTCCCTTCATATCCCTGTTCCTGAGGCTATAAATGAAGGGGTTCATCATTTGAGGAACCACAATATACAACACTGAAGCCACTACAGTCTTCCTAGAATAGTCAGTAACTGCAGAACTAATGTATACTCAAAAAGCCTGTACTGCAGAATAAAAAGACAACTAAGAGATGAGACCCACTGGTGGAAAAGGCTTTATATTTTCTGCCAGCTGATGGAATTCTCAGAAAAGAGACAATCTGAGTATAAGTGGAAAAAATGCTACCCCCATACTAGCCATAAATTAGCCAGGATGGTATTGATGAAAGATTCAGAACAGGCCAGCTTGATGACCTGAACAAACTCACAAAAGGAGGAGGGGATTTCCAGGTCTGTGCAGAAGGACAGTCACAACACCATCAGGCTGTGGAGCAGAGCATCCACAGTGGTAATGCACAAGGAGAGTAGAATAAACAACCCACAGAGGGAGTGGTTCATGATGACTGTGTACATCAAAGGGTGACAAATGGCCACATAGTGGTCATAGGCCATTGCTGTGAGTGGAAAATTTTCCAAAACATCAAAAATCAGGATGAAGCAGATCTGGGTGAGACAGCCTGTGTAAGAGATGTGCTGATTCTGTGCTTGGATGTTCACCAGCATCTTTGGGATTGTGGCTGTGTTTAAACAGATGTAAGTAAAGGACAGAATGGCAAGAAAGAAGTACATGGACATGTGGAGGTGGTAGTCAGAGATGACAGCCAGGACAATGAGCAGGTTTCCCAGGATGGTGACCAGGTATATGGTCAGGAACAGGCAGAAGAAGAAGGGCTGCAGTTCCGGATTATCTGTCAATTCCAGGAGAGTAAATTCTGAAACATGTTTTGTTTCTAGGTTCTATGTTGTTGATGAATCTGATGTAAAACACTAGATGACAAGAAAACAAAATGTATGGTCCCTAGACCAGCAGAAGCAGTACCTGGAAACTTGTTAGAAATGCCAATTAAATCACTTCAGACTTAATGATGGTAAGATCCAGGGATGATGACCAATCTGTTTTAACAAGCTCTATGCTAAAATTTGAGAACTGGTGTTCTAGAAAAACACTCATCTATACTATGGACCCATGTGAACATATGAATCTTTCACTCTGCTCATTTCTCCCTCCATTCTTTTTCTCTCCCTCCTCCTCTTACCCTCTACTCACTTAGTCAAACCAAAATTTTCTTGAGCAATAAAATACATTGAGGCAAGTCAGTAGAATGGAATAAAGAACACAGAACTATTTCACACCTCCAAACAAATGAAAATATAAGAATAAAATTACAAAATCTGTCTCATCTTTAGGGATTTTCTTTCTCTAAGGTGGTGATATATGATTAAAACAAACAAAACTGGCTGAGAGAAAGGGTGAAATACATAGGATCCTAAAAAGACATAAAACAACAAAACATTTTTGGTCCTCAAAGAACAGTGTTGGATAACACTGGCACCGACCATCCTAACAGGTGTGTCCCTATGCAGTAGTGGTTTTACCTCTCCCAAAGGAAACTGAAGTGGCCATCAGAAGATCAATTATTTGGCGTAAATCTTAGACTCAAGCACTCTGAAGTTAATACAGCTTCAGCATTTGCTTTTCAAATGGGGAAACACTTTAACTGTATTAGAAGCCCAGGGTTCTCACTTATATATTGGGAACTATCATAAAACTATTGGAATAAACCATCAACAAAACAAAGAGGGAACCAACTGAAAGGGAAAAAATATTTACAAACAACATCTCCAATAATATACAAAGTATATAAGGAACTCATACAACTCAACAACAAAAAAAAATCAATCCAATTAAAAAATGGGCGAAGGACAAATAGACACTTCTCCCAAGAAGATATACAAATGGCCAATAAAAAGATATGTTCCACTTCACTAGCTACTAGGGAAATGCAAATCAAAACCACAATGAGATACCACCTTACATCTGTTAGAATGGCTATCATCAACAAGACAAGTAATAAGTGTTGGAGAGGTTGTGGAGAAAAAGGAACCCTCTTACACTGCTGGTGGGAATGTAAATTGGTACAGCCACTATGGAAAACAGAATGGATGCTCCTCAAAAAATTAAGAATAGAATTACTATATGACCCAGCAATCCTTCTTCTAGGTATCTAGCCCCCAAATTTGAAAACATTTATCTGTAAAGATAGATGCAGCATTATTCACGGTGGCCAAGACATGGAAGCAACAGAAATGCCCTTCAATAGATGATTGGATAAAAAAGATGTGGTATATATATATACAATGGAATATTATTCAGCCACAAAAGATGAAATACTGCCATTTGTGACATGGATAGATCTTGAGAGTATCATGCTAAGCAAAATAAGTCAGCCAGAAAAAGTTGAGATCATATGATTTCACTCATATGTGGAATATAAAATGAAAAACAACAAATGAATAAAACAAACAAAAACTCAGACACATACAACAGTTAGCAGTTACCAGAGGGAAAGGTGGGAGAGAGGAGGTAGAAAAGGGTAAAGGGGGTCAAAAATATGGTGATGGAAGGAAATTTGACTTTAGCTGGTGAACCCAATGCAATATGCAGATGAGGCATTATTGAATTGTACATGAAAAACTTTATTGGGTCATTGCAATGATGAGAAATGAGTAGGCTTACAGAAGCCAGCACTGTGCTGAGCACAAGGGACCCTCATAGTGACACTGCCTGTTTAATTATTTTTTCTGCTGAATAACTAACAGTACCTGACCTGTTTCACTGCTAGGAAGAAACTGGTGGGGTAGGGCAAGTTGAGGAAACAGGAAAGAAAGAAGGAACATCATTAGCATGACAACAGGCATGGGTTTAGGTGCCGAAATTCTCTCTGGGAATCTTGGCCATGTGTGGGGTAAATGAAAGAAATATCAATGATATTCATATTTATTTGGCATGGATATAATTAAAATTAATTAAATAATAACATAAATTAGATCTATGAATCAACACAAGCAATAACAACCTACAAGAGAAAAAATTGTTTGATATAAAATATACAGCACAAGAAATCTTAAAATATTTTTAAACCTACATAAGTGTGTTTATTTTTATTTTGGATTACTCAAGCATTAACAAAAAGCATAAAGGATATTAAGGAAAAACTGAGTGTCCACCACTCAATGTTATCAAATAAACCCACTTCATCATTCTTTCTTTAGGTATTTTCATTGAAATAATAGGTATCTTTGAAGCATCCCACATCAGGTTATTGTACAAATTGATTCTTTTCTTCTCCTGAGGAAACCACTACATTAACTTGATGTGCATTATACCCTATACTTTTTCTTATATTTGGTATTTTTCTACAAGCAAATGCACTGATTTTTTTTTTAATTTATTTTTTATGGTGACATTGGTTAATGAAATCCAATACGTTTCAACTGTACACTTTAACAGTAAGGTACTGTGTGTTCGCCTCCTGTAGTTAGATTTCTTTCCATCACCACATATTTGATCCCCTTTACCCCATCTACTTTCCTCCTCCTCCAACCTCCTATCCTCTGGTAACCACTAGTTCATGTCCATGAGTCTCTGTTTGTTTATCCTGCTCATTTGTTGCTTTTAGGTTTATCCTCTGGTAACCACTAGTTCATTGTCCATGTCCATGGATCTTGTTTGTCCTGTTCATTTGTTGCTTTTAGTTTTATATCTCACATATAAGTGATATCATGTGATTTTCAACTTTTCTGTCTGGCTTATTCTGCTTAGCATGATTATCTCGAGGTCCATCCATGTTGTCACAAATGGCAGTATTTAATCTCTTTTTATGGCTGACCAATATTCCATTGTATGTATGTACTACAGCTTCTTTATCCAATCATCATAGGACACTTCGATTGCTTCCATGTCCCAGCCACTGTGAATAATGCTGCTATGAACATCAGTGTGCAAATATCTTTTCGGATATGGGTTTTCAAGTCAAAGTCAGCTTTTGAAAATGTCCCCAATGACACTCATAATCAAATCCCGGTCATGGACACCAATCTTAATTCTATTCTTATTTCATAGACTATTACTTCTCATCCATTTGCTACTTCTTCCCTCGACGCCAACTGCTTGCCAACCCTCAGATGAAATCATCTAATCTAATGGTTTTAAGTATCATCTATACATTGATGACTCTCAAATGTAAGGGCTCAGCCTGATAAAGACGTGGTTTTTCTCATGTACCAAGAAGTCTAAACAGGCAGTCCAATGGCTTGTGCAAAGACACCAATGCAGGGGAATTGTCCCTGTGTTTTTTTAACCAAACTGTATTTGTCTGTAGTTTTTGTCCCTATAGCATAAAATTTATCATCCGAACTCCAGAAATGTATCTGATTTCCAGGAAAGGTGAAGGTGCATGAATGGCAATAAAGAGAAATAGCTATATGAGACTGTCCCCTTTTTAACAGCTTCCCCAAAATCCACACCAATGACTTCTGCCTACTTCTCATTAGCCAGGACTGTCAAAGTCTCCCATAAACCTAAAGAAACCTAAGAAGGAAAATGCTTTTTAATTATGTGCCTGGAAATAATCTAAATTCTATTTAAAATGTACCAAAGGACAAGGGGTATTAAAGAGACAACTACATACTACTTGCCATACAAGGCCAGAGAGAATTTTCCTATAAACAAAAAGAATACATATCATAAATTGCCCATTTTATAATCTACTTGCAAATACATTAGAAAGCAGTCCCCAAAAAGTTATAAAAATGCCCCTACATCACCAATTATATGACCAAATATCTCATAGTTCAATGAAAATATTATACTGTAAATGAAGAAGTCATTAAAGCTAAACCATAATGAAAACATTATATGAAATGAGTAAAATACAGCAGATGTTCTACTTAAAGTGTCTTTAAAGTAATTAAACTTTATAATACAAAATCACCACTGAGAATTAAGAGACTGAGTATTTTTCTTGAGAATAAGACAGACAAAAAGGCAATCTCATTTTCATGTTATGTATTTTAATTTCTCCTCAAGAATCATCTTGCGTACAAGCAAAGAACAAACAATACCTGAAAGCTTTCCAAAATTCCTCACATTCATAGTTTATTCCTCCAAAAAGCATTTTACAAGTCTCCTAAGGGATGTGTATTTACCAAAAAATATTCCCACACTTTTATATTCATAAAGCTTCTTTCCAGGGTGCATTTTCATGTATAGTGTAAAATTTATAAGATGAATATACCATTTCCCACGTACCCTACAATCAATTTATCTCCAGTGTGAATTACCATTTTACTAAAGGTTGAAAGCTAAACCACACACACACACACACACACACACACACACACACTCCTATACTTCTAACATTCATAACATTTTCTCCCTCTGTGAGACAAAGAATGTTCACACTGAGGCAGAAGCTTTCCTACATATATATTACCTTCATAAGGTTTCCCTCCCCGTATATCATGACTTATTCATTAACAGCTGAACAATTTTTAATATTTCTACATTTGTGCATCTTCTTGCATATGAAGCTTTCGGGAATTTCTGAATTTCCATATTATTTACATATATAAGGCACCTCTCCACTGTGAGTTTTTAAATGTTGAGTTCTTAAAAGATATGAGAAGAAAGTGTAGCTCTTCCTGCATCTTCTACATTCACAGGTTTTATGCCAGTACAAAGTCTCATGTGGATACTAAGGCCTCAAAACTAAGTAAAGGTTTCATTATATACAGATGGTTTTGCCCCAGTGTGAGTTATCATGTGTTATTAAAGCATGTTAAATAGTTTAAGGCTGTAGGTCATCCTTCACATGGCTTTTACAGTAATTTTAGACATATAAAACGTTTCAATCAAAATTTTAAAAAAATTTTTTAAGTCTTTGTCAGATATCTTATAATCAGAAAATGTTTCTCTCAAGTGTTTTTCTTACACATTCTGTAGCGTATGAACAATTATGGCTCTTCCATATTTATATGAATAGGAATTCTGCCCTGAGTAAGTTCTCACATATTACATAAGAATGAAAACTGACTAAAATGTTTTAATATTCTTTACTTTCATAAGGTCTTTGTCCAGATGAGTTCAGATGTGAATACTAAGGTCTGAAGAACATTTATAGGCTTTTTCACATGCTTTAGTTCTTAAATGTTTAGCAAGTGCTGAAGACTGAGTGAAAGCTTTCCCACATTCCTTACATTTGTATGGTTTCTCTCCAGTGTGAGTTCGCATGTGAATATTAAGGCATGTGGAGTATCTAAAGGCTTTCTCACATTCTTTACATTCATATGGCTTTTCTCCTGTGTGCGTTCGCATATGCATATTAAGATTTGTGGAACGAGCAAAGGCTTTCCCACATTCTTTACATTCATAAGCTTTCTCTCCAGTATGAGTCCTTAAATGTGTAGTAAGGCCCGATGACTGAGTGAAAGCTCTCCCACACTGCTTACATTCATATGGCTTCTCTCCGGTGTGTGTCCTTACATGTTGATTAAGCATTGAAGAATTAGTAAAGGCTTTCCCACATTCCTTACATACATAGGGTTTCTCTCCAGTGTGTGTACGCATGTGTAAGACAAGTCCTGAGGAATGAGTGAAACTTTTCCCACAATCCTTACATTGATATGGCTTTTCTCCACTGTGAATTCTTCTATGTTTTGTAAGGTATGAGGAATGAATAAAGGCTTTCCCACATTCCTTACATACATATGGTTTTTCTCCAGCATGAATTCGTACATGTAAAATAAGTCCTGTGGATCGAGTGAAGGCTTTCCCACATTCTTTACATTCATATGGTTTATCTCCAGTGTGGTGTCTCACGTGTACCTTAAGTGATGACTGATTAACAAAGGTTCTCTGACAATCTTTGCATTCATACAATTTCCCTCGTGACTGAGTTTTCTTGTGCCCAGTAGGATTTGAAAGCTGACTGAAGGCTTTTTCATGTTGAACGCACTCAGAAGTTTTCTCCCTAACATGGATTTCTTTGAAAGTATGAATGAAGTTCTTTTTGAAGGCTTTTCCACTCTGATTACCCTTAGAAATTTTCTGTCTAATGTGAGTTTTAAGAAATAAGTGTTCACTACATACTTTTCCACAGAGGTTAGAGCCATATTGTTTCACTCCAGCATTGCTTTTCTCCTGTTAAGATATAAATTATAATTAAAGACTTTTTCACATTCATTATAACAAAATCTCTCCCCCATCACAACTTTTATGTATTACAAACATTATCATTATTGAATTTTTCCTATTAAGTTGAATAAGCCGACCTTGAGGGTCAGGACCCCACATTATATTCTCTACTTTCAGAGAGCTTCGTAGAGAGTTTTTCTGATAATTATTTAAACTAAATTGCATTTCAAAAACTGGATACCAGAGTTTAATATATGTGGATGTTAACTTGCGAGATCTCTGAGGAGAAACAGATTTGAAGTAAATTTAGAGTGCTTCTCAAATTATTGATGTTCAGAGAATCTCTTCATAGACTCTGCTTTTTTTTTTTTTTTTTTTTTTTTGAGTAAATGGTATTTATCTCATATAATTTTCATGGATTTTGTGCTTCTGGTCTTGATGTGGAGGTAAAAAATTACTTCTTGGAGATCTTACCAACTGTATTCCATTTGATGTTTTTTCCACAGAAATATTTTGAAGAGGTGTGGAAACTTTGGTTTTGAGTTGCAAATCCAATTCTGAAATAAAGTGGAAAAAAATCAAGTTTGGAAAATAACTGAGATAAAGTTGTTTATAAAACCATATAACACAGAGAATGACATCACAAAACATGGTACATAGGGAACTACAGGGCTCCTTCCCACCAGAAAACACTAACAAGCTTACAAAAACTATCAGAACCAACTCTTGCAGAATTTGGAATCTAGTCAAAAGGTACACAGCCAAGGGACATTAAAGAAAGAAGCAGCTATATTTCACCAAGAGAATGTTGCAGCATTTTAACTTCCCGCCTGTCATCCACACTCTCTAGATAAGCTGCAGCCATGCAGATGGCAAGATGCACTCCTTGAGCAAGTTGCTAGTGCCAAAAGGAGGAATATGGACCTTATTCCCAAAGAACTGCCATTGTGTGTTCTGATCTGTTTGGCAGCTTTCTCAAGTATTGGTGCAAGGGGCTCCCTTTATTTCACTCAAACCGGAGAGTTCCCAAGAGTGAGGAGCATTCCAAGCAGTTTCCACTAAAAGTGTTTACTGGTGAACTATTGGCCACAACAGCATGAGGAAAGGGAAAATGGTTAGGACTAACAGTACACAAAGTGAAAAGCCTTGGAAGGAACAAGTTTGGAATGATAAATGAATACATAAGGGCTTTTAAAAACTTGAGGATTTACAAGGAAATCAAGGAGTCCACAAGCATGCCCAGGGCTGAATGTCTGCTCAGAAAGGCCAGAGAGAACTGAATGCTTTCACCTCTGTCTGACCTTCAAAATTCACTCAAGCAGGAAAGGAAGGCTAAGCAGGAAACAGCCTAGCTAAGCACTGAAGGAGTGATCCAACCTATAGCCAATTGACAAAAACTAAAAGACTTTTTAGGTTTTGGTTTTTTTTGTTTGTTTTACTTCAAGCATTTAAAGAATTTCTGTCATTCTAAGGTGACTACTAAGCTAACAGAACACAGATTTCAGGGGCTGCACTAAAAAGAACATACAATATACAAAAATAATTGATAAAAGTTACTAAACAAACCAGTAGTCCACAACAAGCAGCAACAGCAAACCTCTGGGAGATGGGAGAATCAGATTTTCAAACTGTCACATTATAATATCTAAAATTACATTTTCAACTAAAAAATATGACATATGCAAAGGAACAAGAAAAAAAATAATAGAAATTGTCCCTGAAAGCAAAGACAGTGGACTCACTAAATAAAGACTTTAAACCAGTTTGTTTAAATATATGTCCAAAGAGCTAATGAAAATCATGGACAGAGAACTAAAAGAAACCAAAAAAATGATGTCTCACCAAACAGAAATCATCAATAAATAGAAATTACAAAAATAAATAAACAAAATTCTAGAGCTGAAAAGTTACAATATGGAAAATGTGTGGTACAGGCAAAAGAACAGACATATACATGAATGGAACAAAACTGAGAATTCAAAAATAAACCCATACATCTAGGATCAATTGATTCTCGACAAGCATGCCACAACCATTCAATGTGTCTCTTCAACACGTAGTGTTGGGATAACTGAATATTCTTATACAAAAGAATCAAATTGGACCCCACTTCACACTGTATACACAAATTAACTGAAAATGGATCAAAAAGCCTAGTGTCAACGCTAAAACTATAAAACTCTTAGAAGAAAATGTGGGGGTAAATCTTCATGACCTTAGATTTGACAATGTCCAATCCTTCTATCTATTCTAAAGTAAGACCTTGGACCTCATCAAATTTAAAAATGTTTGTGCCTCAGAGAACACTATAAAAAAAGCCAAAAGATAACCTGAAAAAAAAAATGGGAAAAATAACTGCAAATCATATATCCCATAGGAAGAGTGCACTATTAGAATACATAAAGAACTTCTTCACTTCAATAAAAAGACAAACATTTCAATGTAAAAAATGGGCAAAGGACTTATATCAGCATTTCTCCAAAAAAAAAGACAGAAATGGCCAAAAAACACATGAAAAGATGCCCAATATTGTTTGTTTTAGGGAAACTCAAATCAAAACCACAATAAGATACCACTTCATACCTGCTAGAAGGATTAGTATTAAAATAAAAAATAAAATAAGAAGGGTTGGTAAGGGTGTAAAGTAACTGGAACTCCTCTAAGTTGCTGGTGGGAATGTAAAATGGTGCAGTCATCTGTAACAAGTTTAACATAAAATGCCAAATAGTTTAGCAATCTGTAACAAGTTTGACATAAAATGCCAAATAGTTTAGCAATCTGTAACAAGTTTGACATAAAATGCCCATGTGACCCAGTAACTATTTCTGGTTACATACTCCAAAGAGCTGAAAACAAGTATTCAAATAATTGTTCACAAATGTTCATAGCAGCAGTATCCACAATTGCCAAAGGTGAAAATAAAGTCCATCAAACAATAATTGGATAAACAAAATGTGATATAGTCATGAAATTGAGTATTATTCAGCCATAAAAAATAATGAAATGCTGACACATACTACAACGTTGATAATTTTGCAAACATTATGCTAAGTAAAGAAAGCCAGACAAGGAAGCTCACACTTTGTATAATTCCATTTATAAGGTACATACAGAATAGGTAAATCCATAGAGATAGAAGGCAGATACGTAGTTGCAGGGACTGGAGGGAGGGACAAATGGGGACAGACTACCTAAGGGTACATGGTTTCCTTGTGAGGTGATGAAAATACTTTGGAACTAAAAAGAGCTGATGGTTCCCTAACACTGTGAATGTACTCAATTCAACGAATTATACTCATTAAAATGGTTAATTTATGTGTATTTTACCTCAAAAAAAGCATGTGGCACATGTTTACGTCAAAATATGAATGAAACATAATAAAAATGGTGAAACAAAAAGAAAGATGGACCACAAAGAGTTTGGCTGTGTTAAGAGTCTGACAATGATAAGGGCATGGTGTCAAAATTTTAGGCAATTTACAAAGCTTAAGGCAAAACTAAGGTTGACAGTAAACAAAAAAAGATGATAGAAATTAAGAAAACAAAATAGGAAGGTATTGAGAAAAGAGCTACCTCCAAGTAATGAAATTCTCAAATAAGCCAGCCAGATCTTTCTGAGAACAAAAAAAGTTGAGATCAATGGAAATTAGAAGTAAAAGGGAAGTTGAAGGTTTCTGAGGAAACTGAGAAACCAAATGGCCTCAGCCCTCTCAGAAAAAAAGAGTAAACCTTTACAAGTTTGCAAAGTGATATTTCCAAAGGTACTGCGCCTTTTCCAGGCTAGCACAGCTCTTCACAAAACCGTATCTGCTTGTGAACTCACCCTGCCAAACTCCTCCAGTTGCTGTCTTCAGCTCTCCTGCTCTTTCCAATCCAGAGCTGACACTGGGTTTGCATGATTCATACCCTGCTTAAGGGAGAAATACATAAAGAGGACCTTGCAAGACATAATAAAACATATCCTTGAATCGGGAACCAACCCCTTAGCCTTCAGGGTTTCTCAAGACAATAAAGTCTCACAGCAAAATAATCATGTAAAATTTTGAATAAATGCAATAAAACTATTTTAAAGGTATCGAAAATCCAAGCAACATTCTTTCTGTGTATCCTCAAATGCCTGGCGATCTCTAAGACCTGAACACCATGTCCAACCTCATACATATTTATGTCCTATGGTTTTATAGTCCATAAAAGAAATAAAGTCATTTTTTTACATAGAACTTCATTTTCATGGAGACTCCACTAGACAGTAAAGTCCCTGAGGCCAAGGACTACGCCTGTCTTGTTTACCACGGTATTCCCATTTGACAGCACAGGTACTTAAGAAACTTTCACTTCATAAGGGGCTCAGTAAAGAAACAATGCCAGCCTTACCTAATGTAATGAGATTCTTATAGTTCTCCAACATCACATCTCTGTAGAGATCTCTCTGCGTTTGATCCAACAAAGTCCACTCCTCCTGGGTGAAGTTCACAGCAACATCCTCGAAGGTCACTAAATGCTAAACCATCAAACACATGCTGGCTTCAGCTAAGTACCATCTTCATTGATGTTCTCAGAAAGATGCATGGGGAGTTAAGGAAGGTAAACCACAAGCCTACAGTACTCCTGGGCCCAGACCTCTTCTCCTCTCTTGCTTTAGCCCCTGCCTCGTGATCGCATCCAGTCAAATGGGTATACCAGCATCAATGACACAGGACTGAACTTATCTTACCATAACTTTACTGTGGGCTCTTACAGCTTTATTCCTCCTCTACTTATAGGATGCATTTAGCACTAAACACAATGCGGCACTTTGTAAAATCTAATAACAAAAGAATTATTTCCACAGTGACACAGCAATTCCCTAAGATTAGATACCTTCGTTTCCTTCCATAAGATCTGTCATAATACTGAGTAAAACAGTAGGCCAATAAGTGTGATTGAGGATCAAAAAGAACTAGTGAATACTGAGATAAAAATCATTTCCAGTATATTCCCTGTATACAGCTCTATACTGAGATAGCATGAGTCCTGGAGAAAGTCACCGAGACTCATTCTCTAAGCAGGGTCATAACTGCTTTAAGAAGCTTGGGGACATGGCTACCTGACAGAAATAAGCATGACAGTTTTGAAGAAAGGTCAACTTTCTACTCACCTGAGAAAAATCCATCAGTAACCCAGTCACCATCCTCAATTTTCCTCTCATGAAATAGAAAGGATCCCAAGAAAGAGGACCTCCGAGAGAACAGCAGGAACCTCGAAGCCAATTAAATTCCAACAATCACATGCCTATAAGCTGTTCCACGCCACGTACATAACAAACCACAAACATACTACTTCCATAATATGACAAAGTGCCTGAGTTTCCTAGAGCAAGAAAATGATTTTCAGCATTTTGTTACCTATGAGGAACAAGTTAAAATTTCCATCTTAGAGCTACACAAATTAAAGTACAGAGAGGCAGAGCTGTTTACTGACATGGTAAGATTCATAAACATTTATTTCCCCAAAAAGCCCTCACATACCTTCTTGCATCCCAAATCCCAGGAACCTGACTTCTACACATTCTGACCATTTCAATCATGCTTACATGGCCCACTGCATGATCACTCAGCCCCTGAGCACTGGATCTGACATTTATTGAAGGATCTGTATCCAGTAGACAATTTGAGAAGCATCGAAAAGGACTCACCACACACGAGTCCGATTAATGGCTGGCATAATGTAAATGTAACAGGGATATTTCCTGGAACGTTCCACTTCTTGCTCAGCAGATCACGCCAGAGAAGCTTTTGAATTTAAATTAAGAGGCTGATCTCGATTTCTCTTCATATCCTAGAGTGTCTGGATAACTGGTTCACAACATCAATCATTAAGCAACAGACGTTTTTCTTCAATTGTCAAACTTCACTCTTTAGCCATCTCTCTGCAGATGACACATGTGACAGCCATTAAAGACTTGTCTAATACATGAGTTGCAGTCGAGACAGCATAGTAGGTAAATGCTGAGCTTGCCTGCTCCCATGACTGCATTAAAATTGCAACTAAATTATGAAACAGTCGACCTGGAGAACAATCTAAAGACTAGCTGAACAGAACGCCTATAAATGGGCATATAAAAAGGAGGCCACATGGAGAATTAAAAAAAAAATGGAACTGTTTAATGTGCAAATATTAATAACAACTGCCATTTACTGAGCCCCTGTTAAGCAGTTTTACATATATAAGCTCCTTTAGTTGTAACAACCCTCCAAATTGAGTATTATTAATATTGTCATTTAACAACTGAGAAAACTAAGGTTCGCACAGGATTTGTAATTGACCCAAAATCACCAGTTAGGAAGTGTGAGTCAGGAGTACACAAAGGTTAGTGTGTCAAGATCCTGATCTCCTGTGGTTGTCGATATTCCTGACGTGACCAGAATTCAGTCCAGACTATCTGCTAGGCATAATGGAGAGAAGTACAAAAGGTTTTATGAAATCAGAAGTCTCCCTGAGCACCCCCTGATGAAGGTGGGTTGGTCTTGGAATCTTTGACTCCCTCAGTCTCTTATTTCTTCATTCACTCAGCAAATATTTAGTAAGGGTCTTCCTTATGCCAGGCCAGACAGTAGGCCCTGAGGAGAAAACAGTTCCTGGGGATCTCACAGTTCATTTGGGCAATGTGCATAATAAACAAATAATTGATATCAGTTAATGATGAGCAATATAGTTACAGAAAGAATAAATCCCATATAAAGTATAAGGAGTACCACACATATGCAAATATACTCCTTGATAAAGAGACAAGACTGGTTAGGGGTAAAATAAAGATTGAATAAGAAAATAACCACTTCAGAGGACTGTGGTAATTGATATCTCACTTACTTAAAAATTTAGTGTTCCAATTTTGACCTAAAAACATCCAAACCTGAATATCAGGATTTTAGAAAAAACTCAAAATACAGTTCTAATGTTAGTCACTACAAAGGGGCCTGAATCATGTCATTGTTTTTCTTTTATGTTGAAATTGAAGTCTTCCAATATTACCTCACAGTTAGTTAACAAAGACTATCATATATATATGTATATATACATATGTAATTTTCATATTACTGATCATTTTTATTAAATATTGATTTTATTTTCATTCATCCTCTCAGTACACTTTTTATCCTACTTCTGTATCCTACTTCTCAACCTTATGAGGTAGTACGTTTAGTTCCATTTCTTGAACTTCTTTTGTTGAATTACAGCATTCATACAATGAGGAAAGTAATCATGAATAAAAAATCTCAGTGAACTATCAAGAAATAATCATGCTCAGGTAAGCACCACTCAGGTCAAGGAATAGAACATATCCATATTCAGCATCTCAGACATATTCCTTGTTTCTTCTCCAAATCACAAACTCCATGCCTCCCAATCACAACCACTATTCTGACACTTAACACTCTAGGCTATTTTAGCTATTTCTGAATTTTAAAGAAACAGTATGAAACAGCATGCATTCTTCTGTGTCTGGTTTCTCCCATTCAATAGTATGTTTATGAGGTTCATCCAAGTTATTGCATCTCTCTACCTATGGTTTGGTCCACTTTGCTGAAGAGTATGCCACAGAAAATATATGCCACAATTCATCCATTCTTCTCTTGATCCACTTTGGGTTATTTCCACTTTAGGGATATTCCAAATAATGATGCTATAAAGTCTTTATGTTTAATTGGTGTCTATGTGCATGCCTTACTGGTGTGTTAACTAACAGATCATATTTAGTGGATACTCTTTAAAAATGTGTTGCCACTAGCAGCTTATGCACATCTTAAGCAACACTTGGCACTACCACTCTTTTTAGTTTTACTCTTAACCATTCGGTGTGTACAGTACTATCACACTGTGATTTTAACTCGTATTTCCCTGGTTGCTGATATGAAGCACCTGTTCACATATTTGCTGTCCATTTATATATTTTCTTTATTGAAGAGCCTATCCAAACCTCTTGCTCATTTTTCTACTGAGTTTTCATTTTGGCTATTATTCTGTAGGAGTTATTACATAACTGTTTGTTGTTACATGTGAGGCAATTAACCAAGTTATTAAAGGTCAAATACCATTTCTGCAATTTATTCCAATCCCCTTACTCTCAAAAGATTTATACACAGATGGAGAGAGATGTAGAAATATAGTAGATATGCAAAATATTAACAAATGGTCGATGGACAAGGTAACACCTAAATAATTAATCAAACTTCAATAACGGGGACCCACAGCCAGAGCATTTCTGGCGAGTGCTCACCGGAATGCACAGCAGTCGCCAGGTAGGTGAGAAGAGGCGCCGTTTGGGGAAACGCTAGGGCCGTTTCCCAGAACAGCATAAATGCTTTTTCTTCTGGAAAAAAAGACACAAGGTTGCTTTGGCAGCTTCTGAGAGACGCACAGCGGACGAAGAAAAGGCCCTGCCTCCACCGGAGACTGAGCCACCGCTCAGGCTCGCGCAGCAGGAGCCGGCATAAGCGCTTGGGGGAACCGCTGCGGCTACGAAAAGCCTCTGGGGGCTAGATGAGCTGACGTCAAGAGAGGAGAAAACCTATCTCAGATACAAGGACCAACGCAAAATGAGACGTAAACCGATCAGCACTTCCGTTTCCGGTTTCCACACCGCGATCCGCGTGAGGGGCGGGACTTCAGGAGCTGGAGGACCAGGAAGATGGAAGGCGGAGGTAAGGGTCGCTTCTAGACGCGAAGGGATGCGGTAAGACCTGAGTCGAGCCCAGGCTCTCCATATCGACCAGTCCTGGAAGGCAGTGCCGGGCCGGAAGACCGAGCAGAGGACGGAGTTAGAAGTGGGACAGACGCAGAGTGCTTGGTTTGCGTCGTGGGCTGTCCCAGGAGGTCGTGGTTCCGGGAGGCGTCCTATCTAAAGATTAGCGTACAGGCAGGAAGAAGCTCACTAAATGCTTTTCTACTGACCTTTCTCCTTATTTCTCCAATATTGTGCAACAGTGTGCACATATTTAAAAAGATAAGCCTGATAGTCTATAAAATGGTCTATCCCCCTAATTTATTGTTCTTTCTTTAAACGTTTAGTTTTGTTTGAGATATACTTCTCATAGCATACAATTAAGCCATTTAAAGTGTACCATTTAGTGGCTTTTAGCATATTCAAAGAATTGTGCACCCACCACCACAATCAATTTTAGCACATTTTTATTATCACAAAAAGAAACCCAGTACCTCCTTAGCCATAATTCCCCATTTTACCACCCCCCAGCCTAAAGTGACTACTAATCTACTTTCTGTCTCTAGATTTGCCTAGTCCCCACATGTCATATAAATGGAATCTTACAATATGTAGTCTTTGCATCTGGCTTCTTTCACTTAACTATTTTAAAGGCTCATCTATGTTATAGCATGTATCGCTTCTTCATCTCTATTACGGAATAACAGTCCATTACATGGATATATCACCATTTATCCATTCATCCATTGATGGACATTGGGTCATTTCCACTTTTTTATCTACTATAAATAATATGGGATGCCTTTTAAGCAATGATCTGAGAAAAATTCACATTACTAAACGTTTATAAATAAAAAATGAGAATAATAAAAATAAATTCCAAGCTCAAACAAAAGCCCTGAAATAGAATATCAATGCAAACCAAGATATAAAAAGTTATATAAGACTTTACACTACAAAAAAAGCATCAAACTCAGATTGGTTTTGCTCTAAGGGGTTTTTTTTTGCGGGGGGGGGGCGTTGATAACAGCCTTGTTGAGCTATAATTAACACACCTTACAATGCAACTATTTAAAGTGTACATTCAGTGGTTCTTATATTCACAGTTGTGAAATCACCACAATCAATTTTAGAAAAATGTCATTTTCTAAGTCCTAAGCAGCCACTAAGCTATCTATTGCCTCTGTGGATTTGTCTATTCTAATCATTTCATATAAGTCGGAAAAAAAAATACTGTGTGGCCTTCTGTGACTGGTTCTTTCATATAGCATAAAGTTTTCAAGGCTCATTTATTTTGTAGTGTGAATCAGTGTTTTATTCCTTTTAATCGATAGATAACATTCCTATCATTTGATGGTCATTTGGGTTGTTTCCACTTTTTGGCCATTGTAAATAATGCTATGAAATATTCATGTACAAGTTATTATATGGACGTTTTCATTTTTCTTGGGTAGATATCTAGGAGTGGAACTGCTGGGTCATACTGTAACACTATGTTTCACCTTCAGAGGAACTGCCAGACTATTCCTCTGTAAAGTGGTTGCACCATTTTACAATCTCACCTGCAGTGTATGAAGGTTCCAATTTCTCCCCATCCTTGACCAACACTTAGTATTTTTTTAAAGCATTATTATAGCACACTTTATAATGCATTATTATTACAATGCTCTAGTTGGCGTGAAGGAGTATTTCATTGTCGTTTTGGTTTTAATTTCCTTGAAAACTAATGGTATTGAGCAGTTTTTCATGTGCTTATTGGTCATTTGTATATCTTGGAAAAATACCTACTCAGATCCTTTGACTGTGTTTTAATTGTGTTATATATCATTTTATTATTGAACTCTAAAAATTATACATTCTAGATTCCACTCCCTTATCAGATACAGAATTTCCAAATATATTCTCCCATTCAAAAGATTGTCTTTTTACTTCTTTACAGTGTTCTCTGAAACACAAAAACAATTTAATTTTGGTGAAGTCCAAATTGTCTGTTTTTTCTTTGGTTTCTTATGCTTTTTGGTGTCATATTTAAGAAACCATTACCAAATCCAAGACCACTAAAGATTTACCATTATGTTTTCTCCTAAGAGTTTTATACTTTAAGCTCTTACATTTAGTTCTTGGATCTATTTTGAGTTAACTTTTGCATAAGGTGTGAGGTAGGCATCCAATGTCATTCTTTTACATGTGGATATCCAGTTGTCCCAGCACCATTTGTTGAAAAAATTATTCATTCCCCCCATTGAATGTTTTTGGCACACTTGTCCAGCATCAGTGCACTATAAATGTCATCCCAGAAGTTTTAGATGAAAGAATTATACCAAAACTTCAAAGTTCAGATATTTCCAGTACTCCATAAATTATGTAAGAGCAATGAGAACGAAAAAATTTCCTAATTCCTATTATGAAGCAAGTATAACATTCACATAAAACCTGATAGGATACAAAAAAAAAGGAAAATTACAGAGCTATGTTACTTATGAATATCAATTCAAATGAGCTATGTTAAAATTTAGCAAATACTACAAAACCACATTAAGAAAATAACCTTGCCAAGTGGAATTTACTCTAGGAATGCAAGTTTGATTCCGTTATTAGTAAATCTGTTAAATAATACATCATATAAATACACTGTCTAAGAAGACAAATCATGATTATATCCATAGGTGCTGACAAAATTCAACACCTATTTTTTTGGTGGTGGGGTAGGGGTTGGAGATGATGAGTTTTAATGACACAGTCAAAACCCACAATTACATGTGGCTCTTCAGACAGCTTGATCTTTGGGACTAGACTTTGTACAGAGTCAAGCAACACATAGAAGCACACAAGCAACACAGGCAACACTCCTGCTTCTAGCATGGGGGCAAGTTATCTGTGTCTCATGATCAAAGTACCTTTTTACTCTTCTTAAATAGAAACCTTAATTTGCTCTAGCCTCCAAAAGGGTTCTAAATCCCAAGGCTGTGTTTCTTTTTAAGGGATGTTCCCGTCACATGGGGCCAGTTTAAACAGAGGCCACCTTACCAGAGCAGACTTTCAGTCCATCAGTAGTCTCTACTCTGTGATATATACAACTAGGTTCATGCAAGCAGGGAAGACACATGCCCAAGAACCGCTTTGGTGATGCTGGTTTGAGTGATGCTTCTTCACTAGATTTTGGTGACTGCTTCATGGATGGAGGTGACCACATAATCTAGATTTTTGGTGGTTAAGCCACACATATCGATCAGACTACTTGGCAGCAGATAAATGTGCTTTTCTCTGATCAGATATTCAACCTGTTTGGGGTTCAACCCAGTGAAATGGAACATTCCAATTTGCTTAGTGATGTGGTTCCAGGTTCCAGGCATTTTGAGGGCTTCTATTCATGCCCTGAATTCAGATCTCATGGTCAGAATCCAGTCAACCATTGTCTTCACATCACCTGTCCATTCCTTAAAGAGCTCAGGGTTAGAGAGCACATTGGCCACCATTCATGCTCCCTGAGCAGGGAGATTGGATCAGGTAATTCACACGATCTTCTCCATCTGAAAAAGGACACACAGGATGCTATCAGGTTCTTTTGCAACAATGGTCAGACTCCCCACTCGTTCACTGCAGACCCCGTAGTTCTTGGAGAAGGACTGGACACAGAAGAGCTTGAATCCTTCAGACACAAAATAGCGAATGGCCCAAGCGTCTTTCTCTAGGTCTCCAGAAGCAAAGCCCCGATAGGCTGAGTTAAAGAAGGGCAACAGAAACCAGCACTTCATGATGGAGGCAATCTCCCTCCACTGCTCTGGAGTTGCATCAGTCCCAGTTGTGCACACAGGCGTGGAAGACAAAGATGGAAAACTCAGGAGCATTTTCCAGATCGCTCAGGAAACCCTGGAGGTTGTCCTCTCTTCACTGCATCCCGAAAGTGATAGGACCAAATGTCTTTAAATCCAGAGGCAGAAAGTATACCATTATGATTCTTCCAGGTTGGAGAGGACACATAGACAGGTGTGTCCTTGTTGTTTGTTCCATTGTACCACTGTGCTAAGAACTCGGCTCCAATTCAAAGTGCACCTGTTCTCCCCAAAGACTACATACCTCCTACCCGCTTCTCCCCAAGAACTGGGCTGTCATCCCCAAGGGCAAGGCGAGAAGCATGGGTCCATAACTCTGCTAGGCCCAAGATCGGCAGATACTCATGCTTAAAGCTACTGTCCATAGCAATCTTCTGCTACGCCTTCCTCACTATCGGCAAAACCCAGGACTGGCAGTCATCCATGCGATAAGCTCCCACTCCTATAGGTTGACCTTGCGGGGTCTGGATCCTCCCGGAAGCCAGCAGTGAGCTTAAAGGCAAGAACGGGCCTTTGGAACCTCAGTAAAAACTGACAGAGACGCCACAGCAAGAGAGCTCGACTGAGCCGAGAACTTCCACCGTGGGCTTTAAGCTGCTGGGTCTGGTCTTTCAACACCTATTATTAATATAAGCACTTGAGAAAACGGAAATTGGTGACTACTTTAAGATGACTGCCTACATCTATAGGTATTTGTGTGTATACATGTATATGTATCTGTGTGTGTACTGGTGTCATTAGCTAATGTAATTATATAAGAGAAATTAATTAGAACCATAAGAATTACAAAAAAGAAAGTAAAACTCTTTGCAGATAACTGGATTTTACACATGGAAAGCCCTAAAGAATCAATGATAAAATTAATGTAAACAAAAGAATTTAAGTTAACAGGATATGAAATTGCCATCTAGAAACCAATAGTTTCATCTGCCAAACAAATAACCATTAAGGTGATAATAGTGGTAGAGAAAACCTCATTTATAATAACTAGAAAAATATACTTTGTATTAAAATTACCAAGAAATATATAAAACCTACATGAGG